TGGGAGCCACAGAGACAGCCAAAAGAGGGGGTCACCAACTGAAACGGTGGGCTGCTGCACAGGAGACGGACGCCTGGGTCAGATACTGAGCTAAAAACAGCAGATTCCATCCAATTAACCAGTGAATAAAAATGACTGTCAACCGACAGAGAGCTGCTGGGTTTTTGGATGTGTCAAAATAATGCACAGGAGAAAGGATGTATTTACAGGTTGTGTTCAATTATTTATCTAATACGTTTAATAAATGCAGAGGAAACACAGGATGTACATGTTTGCATGATCTGTTATTTTCTCCTCTCTTTTTTTTGAGTTTGAACCGAGCTGTCAGTTGCTCGTTTTCTTTCTCTGCGACACGACTTACAGCTAATAAATGATGCACGACGCAGCAGGGCGGAGGTTGAAGCCCGGTTTGTGTCCAAAATCCACCCTCGCGGCTCTCCTCGCGTTCTGCACATGAGTTCAAAGAGTAAGATGTGCTGCTGCTGCAGCTAAATGTCAGGGAGAACAGAGGCTCTCCAGGTACGGGGAACAGGTCAACAGCAGCCAACCAGACTGGTTTACACCCTGAGAGAGAGGAGGAGGAGGAGGAGGAGGACGAGAGGCTTCTACAGCTCTTCCTCAGAAAAAGGACTTGGCAGGGAGTGAAATAAAAAAATAAATCAAATAAAAATCACTGATGGTGTAGCTCAGCATCTGGAAACACTCGAATCTTCAATTGAGTTCATTACTGTTCATCAGCAAAGGTTTCCAAAATGATCAGCACATGTTTTGGTGTTTACCTCAATGGCTCATAACATCAAACACCTGTGTTAGCACACAAAATAACCTTCACAGGAACCAGGCTGAGGCTGCAACACTGTTATGAATGTATCACCTAGAACAGGAACTATATAACAGACCAAGACAAGCAGTGACCACAGATATGTGATAGTTTTAATGATATAATATAAAGACTTCTCCTTACTGTGGGGCTGCCTGTGGAATCCTAGCATTTGTATTGGATATATTCAGCAGTTATACTGTACATCCAACGTAAAACATAAGCATCCAGCTTTACTAGATGAACCCACATTCAAAACTGTGCCCCCCCCCCCTCCCTTCACCTCAACCCCAGCTGGATTTGACCTTCAGTCCAACCCAGGTAATGACAGCTCAAACCTTCCTTCCTCTGATTCACTCGTGACTGGAGTCCATTCTCCAATAAAACTTAATTACCATCGCCTGGAGGATCACAGCGAGCTCTGGCCTTAGAGGTGACATGGTGGTTACATAGTTTTATAGATGACTCCTAGGTCTGCACTCATTTAATCAGCGGGTGCCATCATTTCCCCATTTGTCATTCAGTGTTGGATGAATATGACTCCCTGAAGATTTACCCTCTATTAACCAGCTCGGCTTGGCCTGAGACGGGGTTTGACCTCAGCGGGAATTCCCTGACTCAGGCACGAGATATTTGATTTTTTTATGATAAGAGAAATATTATTAATTATTAATTTAGTCTCTCTATTAAGGCAGTCAAACAATCACATTTTCTAATCTCAATAACAGTGTAGCTGCTGATTAGTCAGCATCAGTCACAATGAATCGTAAACGTAATTAATCCCGATTAATCATGAACATAATTCATAACAATTAATCATGATTAGTCATGAACATAATTTGACCCGATTAGTCACGATTAACTGAGATAAAACATAATCCTAAAAATATAAACTGTGACTCTGCGAAAATATTTTTTAAGAAAACTGTTCAGCCTTCGGTGATAGTCCCAGCAGTCCACAGTCAATGCTGGGTATTTTTACTGTACCTCAGACACACTGATTAAAGCTAAGTCTGAGTAGACAGTAAAACGCGTCAGTGTCCCTGAGGAGGAATTACACACTTCCTCCATGGAAGTCCAGGGGGCTTTTACTATAGCTGCCCTGAGCAGCAGCTACGGTGTTATTCAAAGTCTAAGCCGGGCCTTTTCATTAAATAAAAGAACAGGCTGTGGTCAGTCAAGTGGGAAATTACTTTCTACTTCTCACCACTCTTGTATGGAAAAAAAGAACTGGTGTTAAAGGGGGGTAGAGGGTGGGGGGGCACTGTAAGGCCCAAAACAACAGCACTGTAATTTGACAGGACAAAGAGAAACACAAGATTTAAAAAAACAACAACAACAAAAAAAACCCAACATGCTGCTGCTGAGAGACAAATGAGACCAAGAATTCTAACGGGAGCCTGGTAGTCTGAACTGAAAGAGCTCTCCTGAACCAGATCCACTTTGCCACGCGACCTCGTATATTATGCATACAATCAAGAGGTTGTTATCAGGCGCCGGGTGAATTTTTAGTATCCTCCGACAACTCCTCTCCTGTCGCCACCTGCGGCATTTGTACTGGTCTCCAGAGCCATCAAGGTTAATTGGAACTAGGCGTTAAAAGACGTTCAATATTCTAAAAGTGACAACAAATTATGTTAATGGTGGTTTGAAGTCCTTGTTATCAAGGTGGAATCAATCATGCCCACCTCCCCTGAGGTCAGCAGTCGTACATAACAATTAGTACACTGTGTGTGTGTATATGTGTGTGTGGGTGTGGTTTATTACATGCCTTTAGTACCAGAAAAAAAAATTGTTTCAATAAAACTGGACTCCAATTGTGTGAAAATCGTGCGAGCCTCAATTCCGAATGATTAAAACGGACAATTTAAAACAGTGCAAGACAACCCACGTCTTCTTTGTCTCACACCGAAGAGACATATTGACAATATGCAAATCACACCTGTACAAGATAATGAGCTGGACACAGCTGTCAGTGTCCCACTGCATCACTGCAGACACTGGGACCATTCAGTGATAATTAACAGAAGATAAGCTGCTCATGTGTCTGTGGTGTTTGGACGATGAGGCAAACCTGATGGCCGTTTTCTCTGTGGCTTCAGGTTCCTCCATTGAAGGGAGCTCATCGGCCAGAATTTCCTCTGGACTGCGCGAGTCGTTCAGACGGGGCTTCTGCTCTTTACCTTTGATGCCCATGCCTGCAGTGATGGCATTCCACAAGGCACTCTGAGACTTGGAGCCTGAGAGATAAATGAAAAAAACAAAACAAAAAAAAAACCAACAAGATAAAGTTCATGTGACTCAGTGATTCTGTGCTGTTTATGTAGTTTTGTTTTTTTTTTAATCACAAACCGTGTTGGGAGTTGTGAGGGTAGTGAAGATAATTTAGTGTCAATACGATGCTGCCCTCGTGTGGATGTTAGGTGTAGCTACTAGAATGTCTCATAATATTATACAGGTTACCATTCAGTGTGACTCAAACCACTTTTTATTTTCAGTGATTACGGTTATGTCATCAGTGAGATCAGAAATGTCAATAATGATGGATTTGACTTACGTGAAAAACTGGTCTGTTGTCTGGTAGAACTCTCTGCGTCTTCATTTGCCACTGCAGAGAAAAAAAGTGAAATGACTAAGTTTCACAGAGAAATATTGAAAATGTACAATAACTCTATATGAACCAATGGCAGTGGTTTTCTTGTTTTTTTTTTACTTCGTTTAATAACAACTCTGAAACAAACGCACATATTTCCCTCCAGGACTGAATATGTCACTAACACACAGTCACTTCAGGGCAGACGGTGACATGAACAATCACAAATATTTATACGGATGGCGTGCTCGTCCCTGCAGTGTGATTGCAGTGAGTGCAGTGAGTGCTGTAATTGCTGTTGTCACTTCAGAGATGTGTCCTGCTGGAATCTCTGCCCATTTAACACAGTGCACTCAGAGCAGTTCGCCCAACAACGTCGCTACGAGGGAAAAACAACTCACTGATGGCAAACCTGAAAGGAGGACTAACAGCATAACACAATACTGATGATGATGATGATGATGATGATGACAATGATGATGAGGATGATGATGATGATTTCTGCAGATTAACACAAACCAACAATGTAGGCCTGGTAATATTTATTTATTACCTGCACTGATAACGGTGATTACAGGAGAGAAAAACAGAGTGTTTTTCTCTGATTTTACTACCATGAAACCAGGGGACTTTTAATATGCACTGTATCAAACATAAGGTCACTCCAATTGTGGCGTTAATTGTTGTTTGAAAGTTTTAATTAAAGCTTTAAGCTTTAACGTGAGCTGTGGATTTGACGCCGACTCATGCTCTTTAAATAATGATGAGTTGTAATTCTTTCCAGAGTCAGAGTTAATAGACTGAGTGAAACCACATTCACATCACAGTGACTGAAGGCCACTATGAAATATGTTACTGAAACAGATTTAAACAACGTAGGACTCATAGGATTTGAAAAACAATTAAAAATAAAGTTAATAAAGACGTTAAGCTAAGTGAATTGTGCACTAAACAATAAATACTGTATTTTAAAGACTTGTCCTAAAGGTTAGCACTGCTGCTCGTGAATAAAGCTGTGTTTGAAGATGTCCTAATTAATCGACCTAAAGCTCATTTCATATCCTGGGTTTGAACCCACGCCTGACCCACAGTAGGACTAAATCTATGTGGTGGATGAACATCTGCAGGTCTAAGCTCCACAATCTGTGGATTTTCACGGTCATCGCTTGAAGGTGATGTGACCTTTGGCTTCCCCGAGAGCAAAAAAAAAAAAAAGAAAAACCCTGTGCCGCTTTCATTTTAGAGATGAAAGAGTTGTTCAAAGCTTTTAATCTGGAGAGCTACATACTGTACAGTAAATGTCTTTCTTCTGCTGAGAAGTTTTTCTACTATTGGAAATCTCACAAATGAAAAAAAAAACTTTTGTCCAATTCTCATGTTTTTAAATATTAGATGTTCATTTCTTCTTCACGAGACCACACACTGTTCACATCATTTCCCTTGTAAACGTCAGACTGGAGGTATATACAAATATATCATTTTGAAACTTAAGTCTGAAGTTTCAACGATGTCAAAGTTCATGCTGTCTATTAAAACCCCTTAGAGTTCTGAGGTGTGATGCTTCGGAGCAAATTAACACCTTGTCACCAACATCATCAGCACATAGTGTCACTTGTCCTTAAAGCCAGTTGAATGTAACACTTCATTTGTGTAGAATCAAAATCTACAATATCATAAGCATTAACCCCGGTCCCTAGATTTTGTTTTGTTTTTTTAAAGCAGGGACATGAAACTACTTTTTGGGGAAATGCTTTTATTTTGTCTTGAACATCAAACATGTGGCCCCTGCAGCTCATTTGAATGTGAGACCCTGTTTTCATCAAGCGCTTTAATCAAATCATCATCAAAAATGTGACTTTGACAAAGACATTAACGAGGAAACAAAGTGTATGTTGAAGCAAAAGTAACAAATGAAAACATCAGAGCCCCAGGTTTGGCAGCCGAGGTGACTGGTTCGACGTTTCTCTCTGCGTGAGCTCTGTAACTCTGACCAAGCCGTGAAACAAGCTAACGAGTCAATGAGACAAAGCGTCTCAGCTGGATCTCAGCAGAGTCAGTCGGCCACAGTCCCAGCTCTCTGTTCAGCAAAGGAGCGATGTGATTGGCAGAACGTTGTCTGACTGAAACCTTAGCCCGGCGAACCATTGATTGTGACACTTTAGCGTTACCATGACAACTACCATGCAGGTTTGTACTACAGTGGAAGTGATTTCGGCCACAGATCTGAGTTAGATATTTCAAGGTAAAAGGATGAGTCTGCGCCAGTGAAGAGAACGGAGGAAAGAAAAAAACTTTTCCTTTATTTTATTTTATTTTTTTTTTCTTGTAATCTGATTTTCCACTCTGCGACAGATGTGTGATTGCAAGTTGCAGGAAGGAAACAAGAAAGCCACATATTTCCTAATACAGAAGCACTTTTTTTTCAACACTTTCTATGTCTGCAGCTCATCAAGTATAAATAAATAACAACTAAAAAAATTTCAATTTGATTAACTGGAGGGTAATTAACCAATCATGATCGTCACGATTGAGCATTATTAATCATAATCAATCACGATTAATTGAGATAAATCAACACTGTATATATTTCTGGAACAAAAAGACAAAGAACAGCAATTCCTTCCTTCATTTTGACAGCCCTGCCATAAATTAAAAACAGGCAGTGATGAGGCCTCCCTAATGTCTGCACGACGTAGGCCCCAAGATATTTCTCCCCATTTTCCAATTACTGCTGATGATCTGACTAGTAATTAAAACACATCCACAGTTTGTATATTTAATAAATATTTTTGCCGTCTAGGAGAACAAAAAACCACTGTTCTAGCAAACGACTTTATATGTATTCATAACATTTACAGTCACCAGATCCTAGGGGACGATGTCTAGCTCTTTAACTGCTCCCACTATTTTCACAATATCAGCATCTCGTGTTCACTTCTGCTCAGCACTGCTGCCGCTGCGTGGGTGTATCAGTGCTGAAAAAACAGCTGCCTACAACATCTAAAGAGAGAAGGTTGATGAAAGCAGCGACAGAGGAGCCAAACAGTGAAGTTGTGGGCTGTGAAACCAAAAAAAAAAAACCAAAAAAAAGTAGATTTGATTTTGCACCAGTGACCCCTAATGAATGTTACTGTTTGTCAGCCTTACACTGACGACCAAAGTTGAAATACTTTAAGAAACCTAGGATCAACTGTGCTGATGTAGGCACCTCTGAGGTTAGAGTACGAAGCCTGAAGTCAAAATGACATTTGTTTGTTTGTTTGCAACAGTTTTAAAAAGAAAATCTTAAGAGAGAAAAAAATAAAACTTTCTGCATCATAAACTAATACTTGATGGAGGGGATTAAGCTGCTTATTAAAGCATTAATGCACTGCCACGGTAATGTTCAATAAATATGTCAAAAGATAACGTTCTTAATCAACTTTGGTGTCTGTTACTCAAACGTTACAGATTACTCAATCCCCAGGCAGGAAGAGCATGAACTCACAAGTGCGTAAATTGTGCATCAAAAAACGTGGCGTTATAAAAAATGTTGACAGCCCTAAAAAATTCTGCATAAAATCCTTGCATTCTCCTTCTTTAATATACATTTTTATACAACTTGTACGCTCAAAGTTAGTCCGTGAGCCCCGCTTTGGGCCACTTGCTCTACATACTATGGTTTTTATAAATAAAAAACCCAGCTGTGACACGATGTAAAAGTGCAGCCGACAGTTCTACTGTGACGTGGCTTTAAAATCGGGTTTGATTATGTTTGTAATAATCACACATGATGTCAACCCACTTGTTGTGCATACAAAAAAGCAGTCTAGCAAGTTTGTACAAGTCCCCCCCCCCCACACACACACACCTGGAGCATCTTCACAGCTCCCTGGTTTATATTGCGATTTAACACTCGTTTTTACAAACTTGTCACAAAGGAAATAACAAGGCAGGAACAACATAAGTTCATCAACACTCCTCGGTTGTCAAGACAATAGCATGTGTTCTGGGTTGACGTCAGGTGTGCACACACACACACACACACAGCTTTTGAAAATGGGTGCCCTGGTTTCCATGCTGTAGTTGGCTGACAGATGCACACATCAACTTCAGCAGAATGAACTAATGTGTCCACTTGAGCAGACGCTACATTGTGATGCGTCTAGATTCACACTGCCTCTCTTTCCCACTCACACACACACACACTCACACACTCACATCGCCCTAATGCTTTTAGCTCACATGCAAACACACTCAACATCCCCTCGTGCTCTGCCTGCCGTTCCCAGTCTTACCTATGGTGATGTTGAAGCCGTCGATGCTGAAGGTGGCACTCCGACCTTTTCTAAAGCGATGCTTTTTAGAGTTGGCTTCCATCTCTCTGGCGCCCTACGTCACCCCCTACTTGTTAACCTTTTTTTTGTAATCCCCCTTTTCTGTTGCTGTGTGTGTGTGTGTGTGTGTGTGAGTGTGTGTGTGTGTGTAGCTCTCCTCCTGAGGGGAAGGGATTAAAAAAAAACTACAGTCCACTGACTCCTGAAAGCTCAGAGAGAGAAGTGACAAAATAAATCACCACTTCTGATACAGAGAGCTGTAAAAAAAAAAAAAAAAAAATCTCTCGAGTCCTCCTCCACCCTTTTGGCTTTGTTGGAGCGCTCTCTCTCTCTCTCTCTCTCTCTCTCTCTCTGTCTTCTTTTTCTGTCTTCTTTTTTGTCTCCGTTTCTCTTACCTCAACAAGCTAATTTCGAGGAGCTTATGGCTCTTGATTTGTTTTTCTTGTCTCAAACTCCTTCCACCCCTCCCACCACTCTCTCTCTCTCTCTCTCTCTCTCTCTCTCCCTCTCTCCTTGTCTCATTTCCCCCTGAGGTACAGTGGGTGTGTGTGGTCGGTGGTGGTGGTGTTGATGGTGGAGGTGGTGGTTGGGAGGAGGAGGAGGAGGAGGAGTGTGGGGGGGGGGCATCTCTAGAGGTCTCTGGTAAACGTGACTCCTCCTTCTGTCAAGAATTTACAGCCAAAGTACAGAAAGATGAAAAGCCGAGCACAGACACAGGTGAAAGAACTGGAATCTAAAATCAGCCGCCGCTTCGCTGGAGAAACTTAAATGGAAAATAACAGGGAGGAAGCAGAAGGAGTAATTATGTGTCTTTAATCTAAAATACTTTCACATCGGTGCCAATTTCTGCTCATTTTAAAAACTGTCTGTCTGTTCAGGAGTTCGCAGGTGAAGCCGTTTACACGTCTTGTTTTTTTAAAAAAATCAAGATTAATCGCACAAACTGCTCCAAACGTCTTTGAGCTTTTTTTTCTACTCTGACAAATGAACAACAAAGACTCAACGACGGAGGACACAGTTTTCTTCAAACAGCCAAGGTTACCCAGGAAAAAAAAAATCCTCTCTTTGTGCTTATTTGATTTTCCATTCTTTAAAATCACACACACACACTCCCACACACGCACACACACCTGCTGCACAGAGATCAACAAAGGATAAAAAGCTCCTCTTATTAGCACCATCTGACATTTAGCTATGGATTTTTCTCTCCCGTTTCATTTCCCCCATTATTAGCGCTCTTCGAGGAGGTTCCTGCTCCGTTCGTCCGTACTTGTGCCTATAAATTGTACAAGAGCACATCGAATTACTTGCCACTCGATTACATACGTACTCCACCTAAAGTACCCGCTCTAAATCCCTCACTATGACATCATCTTCCGTCATATGCCAAACGCATGTTTTTAATAAACTAGATTTTATTTAATTTGTGTCTAATTTATTTTCCCCTGTTTTTAATCCGTAATAACACCGATGCTCGAAGATGCGTTCTGCTGCAGTGGCCTGACATAATTAAAGCAGTGAGACAATAAAGAGAGGGTATTTAGAGGCATTAACACGTCCAACAACATAATCAACAGTTAATAATTGCTGCATGTTGTCCACATGGCTACGGTGCTAACACCTACGTCAGCAATCTGCACAGAAATCATGCCACGTCCAAATGAGTGTGTGTGTGTGTGTGTGTGTGTGTGTTGAGTGATGGTTAGTTAATAAATCAGTCCTAATCTGTCAAACAAAGGCAGATTCAGATGAGAACACAGAGTACAGTGGTGCAGACAGTAATTAATGCACGTTCTCAGGGTAACGCGGAGGTTAAGGGGCCTGAGGCGAAAGAGAATCGATCACAATCATGTCCGTCCAATGGCAGCACGGCCAGTTTGAGTCGATCATCACAGGTCCAGTGGACACATTATACACTTGTGAGATAATTACTCTTCATCTCATTCTGTTTGCTTGCTTCGGCAAGAGCTCGTTATGCACACCCCCCCCCCTCGCCCCCCCCGTCCTGTCACCCTGCTCTGCCCAGCCCCCGGTTCATACTGTACTGTATGTAGCAATTTTGGAAACTTGTAATTTTGCGATGCCCTCCTCGTGCCTCATCGAGAGCCTGTCTGCTCCTGAGTGGCTTTCATGGTACCAGTGGCACAAACGAGGAGTATGGCAAAGGTTCTTCATTTCATCTCTGGCCACTGAGCAAACAACATTAAAATGGTCACAGTTATCATTTCAACATTTCATTGAAATATTAGAATAATATGCAGCATGATTTAACCATGACTCATTGATGTGCCATAAAAACACTAGTTAGCATTATTGGGAAACACAGTTAGAAACTATTTAGAAGACAAAGAAAATATTTGAGTGTTTTTCATAATGCATCTGTATTTTACTCAATGCATGAATCGCTGTATCACTTTATTTTTTATTATTTTAGCACTGGTCTTATTTAATGACAGGCATGTTAACATATACCAGGTGTCAATATGTGTGTCAGACGATACACAACGGCCTTCATGCAGCAGCGTCACATCCTGAGGGGTGTGTTGTTCGACAGCTGTTCTGAGAGGTGTATCCTGTGACCAAGCTGCCCAGATCTTGTCAAGATCCATCTTTTTGAGGGTCACATTAATGACCCTTGAAGAAAATGAATCCTGACGTCACTGTCACTAGGCAACGCTGAGACCTTTCAGACATATACTGCACATATCGCACCGAGGTTGACAAGAGGTTAATGTGAAGATAATACTCATTAGGCGACTTTTTTAGTGCACACTTGGTCATATGTGATTTTCCCCGTCAATTCTCCCCCTGCTTTGAACCCATTCTACCGTGAAATGACTACCGTTACGTCCGCCCTGTGAGTTTCCTATTTAAAGTGTTGTTCAAACAGACCATACAGTGGATGGTTGACCCAAAAAACACCTGCCCGTCCTTGTGCTGCGTCCATTGATGGCAAATGATCATTCAACCTTTGATCTGATCATCAAACGCCAGCACAGACTGTGACTGACAGACTCAGAAATGAAGCAGAAAGGCGTGTGTGGTAATTCGAGGGAGAAGGGGAAAGCTTCTTGCATGAAGTAACTTAATTAATTCTTTGTGCAGAAGTAATGTAAAAACTTAGAGAGAGAAAATAGAACAATACAAAGCAGCGAAGCTGGAGCCAATCACAGCAGTCACTGGGTGAGGACGGGCTACAACCTGGAAATCTGGAACAGTCCAGATCATTCTAACTGAATAGTCATGCAAAGTCATCAGTCATATTAATTCACGGTGTCCCATTGACTCAATACTAGTGCAGGTAAAACCTCGCAGAATTCAACGTACACAGAAAAAAACACCAAGTTGATTTTTTTACAGAAAGATCATCAGTTACCACCGGGAAATCAAACCATCAATCTTGTTGCCACTGCCATTAAATACAAAAGTTACTATAATATAATTTTTTTTTTTTTTTTTGTGAACGGTGGTTTCCTTCACTGCCGTCCCATTGTCAGTCTATGGAGCAGCCCCCTCTGAACATGACGTCAGTGCTTGGTTGTGCAATCAGTTGTAGTAACATCGCAATCCAAGACAACAACTATGTAATCAGATGGAAAAACAAGCTCATTAAAGGTCTCCCCTAGACTGTGTGTCGACACACACACTCTGTCAGTCCCCACACCACTGTCACCACAGTGACACACTGGTGTAATTAAGACACAGAAGGTGCCAGGGAGCTCACCTTTTCCCCAGCTAAATACTCATTAGAGGGCCCTTTAAGAGTAATGTTAACCTGTGTTACAAACCTGAGGGAAATGAGCTGACAAAACAGAGCTTCATGAACTGTCATCTGAATCCTGACCCTGGAGGAACATGGAGGGAAAGTACCAGGCTGTAGCTGGAGTGCACACGTTCAGCTTGATGGAAACAAATGAAACTCTTCTGTCTAGGACCGAGAATCTAATTAACCGCTGCAGACGTCCACGTCTCACCAGACCTGCTCGGCTAATTCAAAAGTCAGAAAACTCTACCAACGGTTGGTTCTCAGTCATCCAGGTGATTTTTCTTTTCTGAAGCAGAAAAGGTGCTAAATGGTGCTAACTTAAAAGAAATGTGAGCACAAATGCATCAAAGTCAATCCTACGCTCCAGTGCAAGTTGTTGCGTCAGTTTCAATCAGTTTCAGTATAAATATTATGTCAATGAGACCTTTCACAACACAATATACTCCACAAAAGTGTTAAAATAATGTTGCATAATTGTTGTTACAACAGAAACTCAAAATATTGTTTTAATGTAGTTGATTCAGTAACATCTTTTCCAAGATCATCACGCTTTGCACTTTTACTTTTTTACTTTTTTATTTTGTGGAAAAAGAAAATCTAACTTTTAGCAATTGGTGGAATTTTAAGGTAATCTATAATGATTTTGAGGTTAATTAAATTGTTAAGCTAAGACCAAGTTTACTCACAATTAGAGCTGTCTGACGGGGTGTCTTAAAGGTGTCTGCTTTTTCCCCTGGAGGGTGAGGTGAAATGTACAAACTGCTTAATACACATGAGCATCACTGGGGACGAGGGAGGAAACTTAACAAGAGCCTACATTGTCATACGGTCATGGAAACACCACAGTACGGATGGTATTTTAGGAGTCAGCCTGGGAGCAGCATTTCCTTTGGGACAGATACGCAGGGAGTTGAACCTAGACTTGGAGGCAGCATTGAAGATTTACAGTGTGACCAGAGGAGACACCGAACAATAACGCGAATGGCAAAATGATTAAAAAACATTTTTTGTAAACTAACAGTAAGCTGAACAAATTTCAAATGGTGTTCAATGGATGAAAAATAACAGAGAAAGAAATGTCAGACAAAGGTCTAACACAGGTCTTCACCTTTCTCTCGCCATGAAAACATGCAATAAAACAGCCGTTCCAAAAGCGTATTATGTAATGTGGAAAACATGTGCATCACCACAGATGACCTCAATTACTTGTACCAAATGGCTGCTGGGCTGCTGTCCACATTATGACCTTTAATGAGTTCATGCAGGTTGATTTTTTGTTTTTTTGTTTTTTTGTTTGTTTGTTTGTTTGTTGCAGTGCAGGCAACACCTCTGGCTTCAAAGAGATGCTTTGGCAGTAGAGATATGTTGCATTGAGGCCAGCCTTCAAAGACCACTGTATTCATTTAATAAAACATGATGACAACAACAGGCTCAGACTAATCCTCTGAAGTGACCAGTAGCTCTCATGAACAGATAAATCAATGAAAGACACACAAGCAGTGTGGAAAAAAAAAAACCCTGCTGCTGTGTTTAAATAAAATGTCAACTACAAATTTATGTTTCACTTCACCCCTAAGAAGCTCTTGACCATTGTGTGCATTTGGGTAATAATAATAATAATAATAATAATAATAATAATAATAATAATAATAATAATAATAATAATAATAATAACTGACTTTAGGTGACTTACCACTCTGTGGACCGTCAGCACTCTTTTTCTTTGGTGTGCGCTTGGATCCGTCAGAATCTTGTCGGTTCAGGACCTCGGACAGTGACTGGCGAGAACTCTGTCTCCCCGTCTGGATGGAGACGTTAAACCGAGCGCTCTTCTTTTTCCCCCGGTCAGACCCTGGAGCAGACTGACTCCTTTCCGGGTCATGGTTCTCCGGCTCTGAGCCCACTTTGACCAGGGCGTTTCTCGTCCTTGTTAGAGCCGAAGTAACTGAGCCCATTACCAATTAAAAAGAACAAAAAAGAAAAAAAAAAAAAGAGACAGTTCGCAGGTAACCGGTGACTACTTTTACTGCACTCCGAACCGGCTAGGACTTGTCTCCATGTTTCTTGTGTCTGCAGTAACTAAAAGTTTCAGAGTAAACCGCAGACACACAGGACAAGTTTAACATACGGTTCATGCTGTCGGCGGCGGTGGCGACTCCCTGGGTTTGTGTGTTTCCACCAGCAGACAACGTCACATGGAGAAAGTTGCTCTGTCGACAAACACCTCGTTCTCCCGGGGCAGGTAGGCGAAAACAAGCGCTATTAATTAACCGACAGATATCCCGAAATATTTAAATGAGCTGCACTGTAGTTTCTGAAACAAAGCTCGCTGCTGTTGGTCATGATCAAAAACATCTAATCACCGTCAGCTTGCAGCTGCTGTGGAAAAAAAAGACCCTGCGGTTATTATCCATCACCGACAGAGGGCAGCCATGCATAGTAGTATACAATAGTAGACATTTGTGTGTGCAGCACTCCTCTGCCTTGCAGGGTGTGTTGTAAATATAGATTATTATTTATTTAGTACAGATAACTTGTCTTCCATCCATCCATCCATCCATTGGATGAACTAATTAACTGTTAACCGAACTAACTAGTTCTCATTCCAGAGGTAAGATTTACTTGGTCTGGACGTTATTATTTATGAGTAAGGTATTAACCGCCCTAACCGGGATTCGTGGACCTGAGTCCACTGGTATTAACCGCCCTAACCGGGATTCGAACTTGTCCAGGAGGTGAACCCTGGGGTTCCACACCAATGACAGAGACATTGCCTCTGGGCCAAAGCGCCACTAGATAACTTGTCTTCATTTATCAAAGTGATAATGCAGGCTGAGCAATTAAATCCCCCTCCACTAGCGGGCAGCAGAAGAGCATAACACTCTTGAGAATTCATGCATTCATTATTTGAGTCTTAACATGCTTTAGATTGTGACTTAAATTAAAGTTGTTACATTATGCTATAAAAAAATAATAATAATAATAAGACCAGATGTGCACACAGTTTTATATTATATATTACAGTAACATTTCTAACAACAAATCTTAAATGTTTGCATTGTTGAATTAACACCTACTCATTGTGTGTGTGTGTGCTGCACAGACATTGCTTTAAATAAGATTTTTTGCATTTGTGTGATGTAGTACAAAACAAAACACTGTTACTACTTATACAAGGTGTTGTTTTCCAGTTTTGATGGTTTATTGCTGCATACAGGCAATCATGACATCATCAGCATACATATCTGCTCTGTACATGCTATATGGATCCAAACGGCTACTTTGGTTACAAAGGATTCTTGTAGACCTTTCTACATTGTGCTGACTTCATTAATGTGTCTAAACAAACGTGACAAAACACTTCAGCAGAGGAAAAAGTAATTCATCATCGTCTTCATCAACTAACAGACTCATGGGGTCATCAAATGTAAAGGCACTTTTTCAAAGCTGTTGAGTTTGTTGTGTTGTTGTTGTAGGTTGGTTTTCTTGCTTGTGGCTACAGTAACGTGTGGTTCTTTGTTTTGTTCCTGTTGAAAGTTACTACTCCAGGTCATCGTGATTCTGAGTTGACTCGTTGATCACCTGGAAAAGGACAGGAGAGGGCAGTCAGGGTCACAGAACTTGTGTTCGAGCTCAAAGGGCCTGAAATCAACAAATTGCCGTAATGATCAGGGACCATGACAATCATCTGGAGTGGGTCCTACCTGACCATCCCTGGTCTCGATGGTCTTGATGAGAACCTTTCTTGTTGTTGTGGCTTCAGCGTGAGGTTTGGCTTCGTGCATTGATTCTGAGCAATAGAAAAGAAGTGGTAAGTAGTATACAGTACTACCAACGTTACTGCAGTGAAATCAGCGGGGCACAAGTAGTGGTACCTCGCAGGCTGAGGGCTGAAAGGTTCGGCAGTGGAGCAGAGATTCTAAAAAGAATTTAAATAACACACAAATCAATACGTTTGCTATAAAAAACATTCTACAAAATGACTCAAATTCAGCAAATCTGTGAAGTAAAATATGGAGAATTATTTTAATTAATAATTCCATCACTTGGATTAGTCACAAATAAATAAATGTGTGGTACACATACATTTACCTGCTGCTATTTTTGGTTTTCATAGGATAAGAATTCTTAACATGCTACCTGCTCTCCTCTCCTTCCAGCAGCTTCCTGTAGGTGGCAATCTCAATGTCCAGAGCCATTTTGACATTGAGGAGCTCCTGATACTCCCGCAGGTGACGGGCCATCTCGTCCTTCATGTTGTGGATGTCCTCTTCTAAACGGCCAATGGTGTCCTGGTAACCGTTACTCTCCTGGGAGAAGTTTTCCTCCAGTTCTCTCATTTGACGCTCCAGGGATTCATTCTGGGATAACAGCCGAGACGCAACACTCAGATGAAAAAAATAAATCACAAAATATACACAGATGCGAAATGCATTGACTGCATAATTGATTATATGACCTGTGAAATTAGGAACTGTTTACTTTTCTGTGGTAGGCAGATTTTTCCGGCTCATGAATCTTACAGACTTTTTTAAGCTTGTTATTTATACTTATACTACAGTACATACAAATGAGTTCAGAGTGGAGCACTCACGCTTCCTTTAAGGGCATCCACTTCACAAGTGAGAGCCTGAATTTGACGTCTGTAGTCATTGGCCTCCTGCTTGGCCAGTCTCAAAGCGTCGGTATTTCTGGCTGCTGCGTCATTGAGGTCAGCAAACTGTCAGACAGCGACAAAGAACGACAGAAGATGAAGATGAAGAGCTGAGAAAAACAAAGTCTTAGAATTTATTCTGGGACGATGGCAAAAAAAAACCCAGTTAAATATCACTGTCAATTATATTATATATATATTACTGGACCTTATATTATTGTTGCCACTCCAAAATATAAAATCTTGAAAATTTGGTATGATATGAATAAAAGGGGAAAAGCCTATTTTTTTTATAAATGCATCTAAATTGCGACAGGTAAATGCTTATGTATTTATTGGCTATAATTCCTACCTTTGATTTGTACCATTCCTCAGACTCATGGATGTTTTTGGTGGCGAGGTTCTCGTACTGCAGACGGACGTCCCTCAGAGCAGCTGTCAGGTCAGGCTTAGCCAAGTCCATGTCCACCTGGACATGCTGCTGCTGCTGGATCTGATTCTGCAGCTCCAGCATTTCCTGCCACGGAGTCCATTGTGTCAATACTTCAATCAATGTTGCATGAACAACTTACACAAACTAGTTCTTTATTTGCTAACAGATTTTTTTTTAAAAGCTTGACCTGCAACAGACACCTGTTATTTCACAACAGTCCAAACCGATATATGGTAAAACGAAGGGGAAGACTTTATTTAGGGTTCACGTTCAGTGTTTCCTCTGACACTGACTCAGCTGCAACCACAAGACAGAGGCCTACCTCATCGTGCAGCTTTTTAAGGAAGTTGATTTCCTCTTGCAGTGAGTCCACCTTCCGCTCAAGGTCCAGTCTGGCCAGGGCAGCATTGTCAACATCCTGTGCCAAAACATTGACGCTTAATGCATTTGACCAAATATACACAGCTCAGGAACAAGACGACATTTTTATTTTTTATTGTTTTATGTAAATCTTCTTCTTCTTTTTGTTTTTTGAGTACTTAATACTCAAGTAGTAGTAGTTTATCTTCTAGTATGACATTAGCCTACTATACTTCATCTCCCTGTCTGTTAAGTACACACTCATTGTGGCACACTCCCACACTGCGGCAGTTTGTCAGAGTATTGGCGAGCTGGTTACTGAGGCGTCAGCAATTGAAGCATCTCTGCCCCGTCGGTAATGCCACTAACAAAGTACGCTATTCAGCAGGGTTTTCTCAAACCGTAGCAGTGACTGTGTGCCTGACTGAGCAGGAGCCACGTCTGGCCCTGCATTGTTGTTCGTGTGCCAGTGTGGTCCACCGCTCGGACTTCCTTCCTTCTTTTCACACAGATACAGAAGCTTATAGTATGGTAATAATAATAGACTCGATGCACTGTGAGGCACATGAGAAGTAAGAAATTGAATTGTGTTACTGTAGACTCCAAAGCCGTCTCATCCTGGCAGCACATTGAGAAATTTTGAATTTTGCTCTTGTTACTGTAAACTTCAAAGCCGTCTCATCCTGGCAGCACATTGTTGTGTTTGAAGTTTTTATTTTTTTTATCTTTCTCCCTTGTTGGAGCATGACTCTAGATTTTAAAAAAAATATATTATTTTTTAGACTAGATCATTTATTTCCACGATGACCACAGAATGAGACGGGATTGATCACATGGTGTCTTTCTCCTCGCTCTGATAAGCACTTGGCCTCCACGCTATTGTTGTGCTTGGCTCATTCACTGTGTCCACTCAGGATGGGACGTATTTTCCCCTTCTTTGCAGGCATGATTTAACTCAGTCAAAACTTAGGCTGTCGGGGTTTTTTTTCCATCAGGCACATAGTTCTTTCTGCTCCTGATCCATTTTAAATCAAGGCTACAAATACTGCTGCTGCCATCAGAGGTAATCACTCCTGTCTGATCAGTATCTAGATTAAACATAATGACAAGAAGAAAGGAGAGTAGATTCACAAGAACGTGCAAACTCACTGCAGCAAGACTCGAGCTCAAACCAGTGACATTTTTGCTGTAAGGCAAGGGCATTAACCACTCTTCCAACGTGTGGCTCATATATGTGTGGACATATATTGTCTACGGAGGTGGATCATACTCTACCTGTCTGAAGCTGTGCATGTTTGACTCAGCCTCTTCTCGCTGAGCAATTTCATCCTGCAACCTGCAATGACAGACACAAAGAGGGTTCTTTTTCATATTTCCTGGCTCAAATTATATACCTCCATACCTTTTTAACATGTATATTTTACTACTATGTATCTATTCTATACTGTTCATCCACCCCGCCTCCCACCACTACCATCCATCTATCCATCCATCCATCCATCCATCCATCCATCCATCCCACTACTTGTTTCCACATAAAACTGCAACGTCAGGTTTTACGCAGTGCTTCTACACTGTAAGGTGAAGCCCTGGATTCACCGTCAGGCGTTTACAGTGAATTGAGGAGGATCCCGAGGAGTTCCTCTGATGAACAGTGCCCTATATCTGTGACAATGAGGTTTAAACCAGTGCAGTTTTCAGTGCAGAATAAATAGAGTGCCACGCCTCCTACTTCTCTCTCATCCTGTCCACGTCGTCCACCAAGTTGTCCCGGTGAACCTCCACACGGGCCTTCTCGCTGGTCAGCTGGTCCACCTGACGCCTCAGCTCCCGCATCTCGTCCTCGTACAGATCGCCCACCCGGGTCGTGCCTTTGCCCCTCAGCTGCTCCAGCTCCGCCAGCAGGATCTTGTTCTGCTGCTCCAGGAAGCGCACCTTGTCGATGTAGTTGGCGAAGCGGTCGTTGAGCGACTGCATCTGCGCCTTCTCGTTGGTGCGGTTCGTGATGAACTCGGTGTTGATGGCGTCGGACAGAGAGAAGTCCAGGTTTTCGGAGGCCAGCCGGGGCATGGCTGAGCTGCTCCGCAGCCTCTGGGTCTTTGCTGCGTAAACGGTCGGGGCAGAGGAAACGCTCAGGGTCCCCCTGGAGGAGGAGCGCAGTGCAGGGCTGGAGTACTGCCGGCTGGAGTAGCTCCTGAGCGCCACCTTGTCTCCACTGAACATCTTTCTGTAGGAGGAATGTCGCGGTGAGGAGAACGACATCTTTCAAGTTGCTTTTCGGACAGTGCGCCTTCAGAGCATCAGCAGAGTGCGCATTGGAAGAGTGCTGCTCCACCCTGACTCATTTATAGTCTCCTCCTTATGTAAATGACTCCATGAGAGTGGAGCGACACCTTCAGAGTCCAATCACATGTGAGAAGGAGCACACTTGTATTTCGGGCCTAAGTTCCACCTTATGTTGCAAATCAACACTTGACTGTTCATGATGCAAAGGTCAACGAGAATAAATAGTCACTGTTTCTCTATTTATTTTAAAGAAATACAAGTAATACATATTGCAGCTAAACTGCTGCAGCTTTTTCACAGTCACAGTTGAACTGTTTTCTCAGTCACTTGCATTTCATCACTTTGCACAGTTCAATCTTCTTTATTAACTCTAGCCTTGTTTTTGTTGAATTAACTTTACACTGGAAAACAAACTTGTTGTCAGTATTTATGTAATTCTGCCAATATGTGCTTCTGTTTCCCCCGTTTGTGAATTTATAGATGCTCACACAACATTCCCTTGTAAAACGCCTTGCGGCGTCAGCCATTATCAATCAATTGTACGACTCGTAGTGTCACAAGATGTAGTTCATGCACCCATCCGTGCTAATAGTTTTATGTCTGCTTCAGTGAGCAGTGGGTAAATGATGTGGATTCAGTTATGAGCTTATAACAGTGTGGAGGTCGGCAGAGATTTCATTTTTTATTTTTGTATGAGCAACAATCACAGGGCACAACACACACACACACACAGAGAGTTAGGATAAACAGGCGAAAACAAAGAGGTCTGAATGGAGTACAAATTCGAGTCATTCCGTACTGGAAGCCCGGCTGTATCCATGGAGCTTGTTGTGTTGTGTTCATTATGACCTGCTCTGTTAAACCTGCTGCTGATTTTCTGATTCCCTTCCAGTTTTGAGGTATATTATCCTGGGTCTGGTTTTGACCATGACTTGACTGCAGCAGACACAGCTGCTCAGGTTGCTGAGATTCACTGACTGTAAAGGAGGATTTGCATCAAAAGAGCTGAGTCAGTGCTGTGGTCCTTCAAAGAACAGTGAGTGAAAAGAGGTGTGTTATGTTTTAGGGGTTGTGTTTTTGGCCTCATGCACAAATATTCCTTTCACAGACATTTTTCACATTGTTGCCCCGCGGGTGAGGGTGGCTGCAGTAATTTGGCACATTGTCCTTGAGATGTGACTGAGCAGAGATAAACCTCGCTTCTCAGCACTCTGCTGCTTTCCACAGAGCTTTAACCTGGACAGATTCGTTATTTTAAATTTTAAATTCAGAGTTTAGCAGAAAATAAATAAAAAATACAGGAAAGTGTAAGTTATTATTATAGGTCTATGCTGTATATGTATATCTGACTCTCAGGCAGGTTGTCAGCTGAAGACTGAGCAATATCCTCAACCAGTATATTTTACATACACTGTGATCAATAGAAGCTCATTGTACTCTGCAATAAAGAAAATTGTGCACAAGTGCGTCAAACCTGCACCTTAACAATAATTTAGTCATGTACAAACAATCACCGATGTGCAGAAGGTCAACAATATAAGCCCTATTAGTGACTCCGGCAATCGAAATTCACATGATCAACATTCACTTGCCTGCAGGGGTTAAACTAAAAAAAAAAAAAAAATCCAGCTCTCGGGCCAATTATGAGGTCACCGGGCTGCTGTGAGCCACCGAGGCAGACAGAGCAGGGATTGTGTATTGCTGATCTATCACCTAACTGCAGCACCAGAATGCAGACTGTGGGCCATAATTATTGTTCGTAGCCTTAGCACTGATGCCCTGTGTTTGGCTACTGCCACAGTCTGTGCCAAGTAGCCCCTGTTCACTGCCATGTTTGGAACAAACCTTGAGTTTTTGGTTTGTTTTCTTCATTTGTTTTTCTCCTTTTTGTTTTTTTTAATTTGTTTTGGGTTATTTTGCCAGACAAGGTCATCCCTGTGGAGCCCCTTAAAAAATACCATTATACAATAATACCAGGCTTTTCAGCAGTTACTTTTAATCATGTTTCTAGGAGGCACCGTTTTAAAATCTCAGGCGTTGAAGCAGAGAGAGACGTACTTTGTTTAATCTCATGATACTGACTCACCAAACCTCATGCTTAGTTGCCGTAGCAACAGTATTTGATGGAGTAAACACACAGAGAGAGATGTGGGGGACTTTTTTATCTGCAGATTAAGAACAGTGATAAAAGTGCAAACATTTGCATGTTAGATTCATGTTTTCCTTTTTTCTTATATCTTCAGCAAATTGTCGACTTTTTCATAGCACTTGACACAGCAGATTTAGTGAAAGGACAAGTGGAATGCAATTGTTTTGGGTTTTTTTTTTTTGCACCCCATTAAGCACATGGAGATTAGACTGTTGTAAATCTGGTCAATGAAAACGGCTGTAAATCCACACCATGTGACCCACGGAGGGAGCCATCAGGCTGTCATTGATTAAGTCATTCATTAAGGCAAACAATATTTCTGCAATTTGTGTTTTTATCATTCAGTGAGTAGATTTAGAGAACGAAAAATGAGCCAAATGTTGACTTACACAACCAGAGAACCTGCGAGCAGCTCGTGGCCTAGATAATAGGGGATTGGGCTTGTAAACAGAGGATTGTCTGCTCAACTTCTGGCCCAGACCGGACTGTGGTATGTTAAGCAATCACCCAAAAAAAGTACTTCCAGAGAGCAGTAAATTGTCAGCCACTGCTGAAAAATCATGGATTAGTAAAATGTAAGAGAAAAACTTGAATTTATATACAGATAAGTCTGGCTTTTTTTCAGATTTTATAGTCTGAAATTAATTCTTATTGTGACAGGAGACCTGGTGACACATGAGTTATTTCCTAAATTCTTTCTTGAAAAATAAAAATTATATAATAACCTTATTTAATCTCTAAAATATTTCTCTTAGTGCAAAAATGTACTTTATTTATTGTTGCATGCTGGAACTACAGCACCTTTTTTTGTAAGTAGACGGGGCACTTTGTTTTTGTCGGGGTAAAGGGGGCTTTGGGCCTTTCAAGCACTCTGACAGAGTGGGAATTAAACTGCTTGGGGCCATTCCCCTGTTGCCATGGTAACTGACAAAGCTCTGGGAAGTTATCCAGAATGGTCATTTTCTAAAGACCTTTTACTCGCTCCAAGTCTTTGTCTCCGTCTTTTCTTTGTCTCTCTTGGTGAATGTGTGTCCACAGAGCCATTGCGTCAGGGAGTGGGGTGTGAAACTCTCCTCACTGTCCAGTTTAGGGCAACACTTTGGAGAAACATTTCTTAGATTTCTGCTCCTTGTTTTTTATTTAAAACCTGTACTATATTTGTGAAACTAAAGGAGTTGTTATTCTTGCAGTCAGTGTCCCCTGGTTACCCTTTTATTATTTGAAGGCAGATATTCAGAGACCATTACATCAGATGTGTCACTGACATATGCCTGACTGATGCAGATGACACCTGCTGTCTCCTGTCTGGTGATAAGTGGGCCAGACTGGCACTAAGTCACAAATAAATTAACTAGCAACTGCCTGGATTCATGAAAGCCATTATTTTGAACGTCGGTGAGTTCATAAAATGTCTTTCAATCTTAGCAAATAGTGTGAAAGTTGATAAGAAACTGGATATTTAAATCCAGGTGCTCATTGAAAATTAAAAGCCTTGTTTTCCAAAATATGTTTTTGGTGTGTGTGCATGTGAGAGAGAGTGAGCACTAGCTGTCCACCCAAGGCCGCAGATAGGCAGAAATGTCCATATTTACATTGTTTTGTAGATAATTGATTACAGTACAGTTGTAAATGAATCCACTGTAAAAATCACTCTGATCATAAAATAATCTTAAAACTAGAAATACAGGAAAAATGCATTTAAGATATTAAAACTACTTTCTTTTTTTAGCAAGAACATTTTATTATCATGTGACAGAAAGATCTTAGACATGGCTGTACCTGCAGCTTAGAGTGGAATATATTTATAAAACGAACAAAATTTAGTTCACAGTTTTGGAAAAGATTGTATTTTACAGTTGCATGTGAGGAAAATTCCTGGAATTCTCATATAATTGGACAATATTGTCCACATCTCGCACGCAAATTGTCCGTTGAATCATGGGCTTGTAGTAAAAGGCGTCCACCACTAGATGTCCTTCTGGGCTGTGTCACAACAGAGGATTCCCCCTCTGGGTGCACTTTCCCATCAGGCATTTTAAACTCCACGGATGCAAACGAAGACGTGCTGTTACTTTTACCGGGCACAGCTGTAGGAGTGTCAGTAGGAGACACCCTGAGGGCTCTCCCTTTAACACCGCTGGTCTGACGTGTCCTGCCGTGAACAATGGAATCATCTAGAAAAGGGTCAGAGTCACTTCCATGTGACATGCTAAAGAAGTTGCACTTTGGAGTTTGAGGTTTAGCCATCTCCTCCAGCTCTGATGAAGAAATGGCCTGGAGGGGGTTTGTCTGGTTCTGGTTCTTCTGAGTAGGCAGAGAATCTTCACTCGTGACCTCCTGACCTGTGTCGACTGAGGAGCTGTCCACCGCGTCGTACATGCCGTTGGAGTCTGGGGGAGATCTTCTTATGAGGTGGTTCTCCTTCAGCAGCCACCTCCCTCGGTCAATTAAAACCCCATCGGTTGTGTCGTCCTCCAGAGTGGAGGAAATACACCTTGAAGCCTCTGAGGCCGCGTCAGTGTCTGCCTTTAATGAGCTCCCAGCACCAAAACCACACACTTCCTCTGTGGAGTCTTTTGTGTCCGACTCAGCAGAGTAAGAACTCCCTGATTGTTTTGATGAAGAACTTCTGGAAAAGTGTTCTTCTGTACCCTGAGAAGACGGTTTAGCTCGGTCCAAAGTTCTTCTTTTGTCCTTGTGTCCATCATCTGAGACTCTCTCACTCTCTGTGATTATATCAACAGAATCCTGGGATTTGTACCCACCACTCCCCGAAGTCTCTGGCCTGTAATCAGACAAATCAGAGGTGGTGAAACTCGGGAGACGTTTCAAGCCGTACGAGTTATCGTCAGCAGCTTGAGCATTTTCCGGCACCAACTTTATATTCCCCTGAGCGTCGTATGTGAATGTAAGTGAGGAGGACTGTAAGGCGGAGTTAACAAAGTCAAGTAACTCCTGTGATATTCCTACAGGATGTGACAGGCTGATGCTCCTCTCCTCTCCGTCCTGCCCTCTCTCCACAGAGTTCTCACACTGCCCTTCTGTGGAACATCGAGTTGATGCTTCTGTGTTTTGTTCAACACATGCGTCTTCATTAATGTCAGTGTTTTGCTGTATAAACAAGGCCTCGTCTGGTATGTCTCTGTCAACTTCCTTATCATCAACATTGTCTATATTTCCATGAACACATCTTTCTCCATTTTCCTTTTCGTCATCTGACTCTTTTGCTCTGACGTCATCTTCAGACTCTGATTGTTCCTTTTTACTTTCTTCCACTTCTTCCTTCTCAGATGTGACCATCCTTAGATTTTCCTCACTGTTCTCCTCTTTATCCCGATTGTTTTCATCACAAACTGAATTCATCTTCCTCTTCTCACTTACCACATCAGATATTCCCTCCTCACCCTCACCCTCCTCCTCCTCATCATCATCTTCTTCTCCTTCACTGACATCTTCTACACCATCTCTCTTTGCTCCTTCTCCTTCTTTAGTCTCATCACATGATTCCTCCCTGCTTTGTTCCTCATCTGCCTCCTCTTCATCCCTATCCATTTTCTCCTCTTCCTCATTAACACATTCTCCATCACTTGTCCCAACACTTTTCTTCTGTCCTTCGTCTTGATCTGCTTCTTCTATTAATTTGTTCTTTGACTTTTCAACCATTTGTTTCTCTTCTCCCGTCTCTTCTTTTTCTTTCTCATCAGAATCTCTGTCATTTACTTCTTCTGGGTCATTCCACATCTCACCTTCTTTCTCACCTTCTTTTCCGTTGTTTCCAGGGTGCCCACCTTCATCATTAGTCCTTCTTGTTTCTCCAATTTCCTCTCTGCACTCACTCTGCTCTTCAACAGCCTCCACTTGTGCCTCATTCTCAGGTAATTCCGATTTATTTTGCATGACGTGCAGAATCACATCTGCATCTGTCTGTGAAATCATCTTTTCTAGTTTAGAATGAATTGAGTGTGTCTTTGTGTCCATCTGGGCGTTGAAGGTTTCTACCGAGGTTCCGTCCTCTAGTTTGTGAAAACCAATTGCCTGTAGAATTGTCATAGAAATTTCTGCTCTGAGCTCCGGTGGCACATTGAGCTCATCCATCAGGTCGTCCAGGTAATGATGATCAAATACTGCTTCTCCTTCACTCCCTGACATATTATTACACAGTGTCTTTTCCTCTGACACCTGAAAATTTCTCCAGTGTTCCTCGAACGTGCACAATGCTCTGCACTGCCAATGGGCCAAGCTCGCCCTTCGTACTTGTGTCAGACTTGTCTTTTGTTCTTCCTCATCTTCAATGTCAGAAATCCTCTTCAGGTGTTTCATCATTTGCATGGCTTCAGAGCTCTTTCTGGATTGGTCGTCAGATTCTCTCAGGCAGTCTCTCAGGGTCATCACGGTCAAGAAGGTCAGAAACGCCCTGCATGAAGAGCCGAACACTAAAGCTACTTGTGCTGGAAAATCAGGAAGACTATTGGACCGTTCCAGGTCAGATGTGTTGATGTCAGACGTTCTTCCAATGAACTGAAAGGATGAACAAAGTTGACGTAGGACAGATTTAATATTTGCTTTAGGTGAGACAGTTGAACCAATGACCTCTGCAGATTTACATTCCTTCAGATGGTCCTCTGGGTGTTTATGGTCTCTTGTTTCTGGCTTGTTTTCTGGGATATCACCAGATAATAGATCTTGATCAGCCAGACAAGCATCTAAATTCCCATTTCTATTTCCCTCATCTGATTCAGAATCTTCGCCTATTTCAAACACAACCCTTGAACGTGGCCCGTCTTGGATGCCCTCCAACCAATTCTCAACATATTGGTGAATTTCAGAGGGCGTGGGATTCAGGGAAGAGTTTGAAATATTCCTATTAAACTGTGTTGTTACTTTGGCGTCTGTTAGATTTGCAGTAAGGGACCGTGGTTTGCTAACAGTCTTTTTGCTAAGGAGAGGTGTTTTCCTAGGTTTTAAAATGTCTGATATACTCTTTTTCATCTGAGGCCTGGCGGTCGGAGTGTTAACATTATAACCATTGAACACAGTAGATTTCCTGGATGGGTTTTCAATTTGCTTATTTTCTGCTTGACTTTTTTGACCATTTTTTGCATTTACTGATGAGCTTGAAGTCTTTTTACGCACACTGCCGACTTTATCAGCAGAGAAACGAGTGCTACTTTTAGAAGTGTCATTATTCCTAGCAGGTTTAACCCCTCTTTTACTGGTTTGACTTTGGTATTTTAGAATAGCCTCCTCAGTTTGGGAATCAGTTGCTTTTTGAGAATATTTTCCACTGGATAGATTATTTGATAATATGTTGTCACGTTGTGTGTGTGACAGCTGACAGCCTGAACCACTGATGACTGAACGAGGCCGCGTCTCATTACAGGGTTCACTGTCAACTGTGTGATGATGCAGAGCTGCACTGACTTTGTTATGTGCTTCATTTGCAAAACAGCCATTCCAGCTGCCATCACTGCCACATAAATGACTTTCATTCTCTGTGACCTGCTTCTCATCGTCTTCTATGTGAAGACACTCTGCCTGTCCTGACTTGTTTGTCCGTGCAGATGCTATTTTCTCAGCCTTAAGCATCGAACTGTTGTTGCTGCTGCTTCTGCTGTTTGATGTCTTCTTTTGATTCCAGCGAAGACCCGGAGTAGAAGGGCGTTTTATTTTTGATTCTTTCCTCCCGAGCGTCGTATCCTCTCTAACCTGCTCCTCACTGAAGCAAACGTCCTTCCCACTTTTGGAGGGACAGTTTCCTTCCTCACAGTCTCTACTGTTGATGTTTGAACCAACAATACTGTTTCTGTCAGGGCCTCTGTTGACCAACTCAGGAACTGACGTATAATCTGTCTTCGTGGTGAGGCTGGCACGACTGAGGGTGGTGGTCCAGTGGAGCATTTCCTCCTCTTTAATAGTCAGGTGCACTTTCATCTCCACAGTCATGCTGCCGTCCTGATTGACACAGAAAGTCTTTTCGATGTCGTCCTCATGAGGTAAGATACAACCGCAAGGCTTGTCTTCGATGCTCTCCGTTCCACACGTCTTGACTGTTTTGTTGCACTGATTCACTTCTGTTTCACATGAGCGTCCGCCGTTGTGCTGCAGACGGCCGTCGGAGCTGCCATTCTGGGATTTGTTTATCTGGTTGACGATATAACGCTCCGATGATAAGGAAAACTTTCTTGAGCCCCTTCCACTTGAGGTAGACTTTTGGTTTCCTTTAGTAGAGAGTGGTGTTAGGAATGGGAGGAATGATGGGTATTTTGGAAAGTGATAGGAAACATAAAAAACATAGCCATGTCATTGATCAGCAATAAGTTACAGTATATGTAAAATTTAATTTTTATTTTCAACTTACGAGCTCTTGTCTGCTTCTTAAAGGTCTCCACGTTCTCCACATGCGTGGCCTTCATCTTCATCTGGCCCTTCCTGTGAACACTGAAGTTTCCTGGTTTGAACAGCTCACTTCCTGCTGCCACAACAACTCCAGAGCATAAGATAAGAGCAGCCAGACCATCAACCTGAAACACAAAGAATAAAAATGTAGGTCAAAGCCTTTAAAAAACTCTATATATTATATATTAATATATTTTCTATATATGTTATGTTTATTAATAGATAAACATATAGGTAAATATCTTCATATAAAGATGACACGCAGTTGTCTTCATTTTCAACTTCACTGTTGGCCATGGACCAAGTAAATGTGCTGTCACTAATTTTGTGTGACATTAACGGGGACAAGGTTTTCCTCAGACTGGTCACCACTTCCTCCCATTAGAATTATACTCATACTGGTCCAGTAAACCTAATCCAAACACTACAGGTTACTTAAAGGAAACCAGAATGTGCACACGCTAAACATATATGCAACGTTTGTACAGAAAGTACATTGGTCCTGGATGGAACACATTTTTGCTTCTAACAGTTAAAATAAATATAAAGAATTTAGCTCTAGGACGTGACGATGTCACAATCACACAGATTTATTCTTTATTTTATTCTCACAGCTCTATCTAAAACATTGTCCTTTGTTCTGCTTGAAGAAAAGAAAATATTGAATCATAATGTATTTGCTTTGCTGCATTTGGGAACCACTGACCTAACTTTCCATAGCTTAACTACCATTTCCTTTCACTTGCTCAAGCACTCACTCTTCTGCCATCTGTGGAGTAGAGCTTCTGCACTGGGAACCGCAGTATCTGGGAGAGGTGATCCAGCAGGGCTTCAAATGTCGGCGCAATTTTCCTGTGCAACACAAGTGCGTGTTTAACAGCAGGATCGTTGTTTTTGATCACCACAAGTCTTTTCGGCGTTCGCACCGCCGCCCTGTCTGTGACCTTTGTCGGCCTCTTGTCGACACCATCCCTCCTGATCATCTGACCAAACTGGAGACGTTTTTGTGCCCGTGCACTGAGAGGCCTCGTGGTATTCCAGGGTATCTGCCGCCAGTTCAGTTTACTGAGGTTGAACGGCTTGACTCGCCTCTGATCAGAACACACATAAGATCCTCCGTCATGTAAGTCATCCAGGTTTTTAACAAGATGCGTCCCCCTGGGTGTGGTGATGGTCCTCACTCCAAATGGCAGAGGCACTTTCTTGGACAGAGTGTCCACCAGAGCATCGAATGTCTTAAAGGTGCGGACATTGATGATCATGCGATGTCCACTGAACTTATAATCTCCACTCTTGTAGAAACACACTCTTTTGGAAAGTGAAGAGTCAGACTGAGGCTGTATCTGTCCAGTGGGTATCATCTGGGCTCGGCCTAAAGTCGCGGCGTCCTGGACGACTGCGTTGCTCATTGTAAGTGGAGGAGACTGAAAAATAAACGGGACAGATAAAGAAATTAGACATCAATCGACCATGTGACTAACATAACCCTGCTCTCACACCTTGACCCAGGTGAGGACAGCATTAGGCCAGGGCACAGTCAGCTCTCGTTTTGCTTTCAGCCACTCTGGGGCCATATACAGAATTGAAGAAGCTTGGATGAGCGGTGAAAAATAGAATGTGTGTTATTTTTTGCATGTTAATTTGCAGTAACTAACCTGTAACTTTTCTTAACAAAACTGCAGAATTAATTAATAATTTGTGATTTTTTAATGATAACGAACAATGACTT